ATTATTATTAACAATTATAAGGTCAATATTTGCTGGACTTAGTTTCTACACAACGACATAAAATCACCATTTTTTTTCGTAAGTAACTAGTATTAATAAGATACATGATATAAAAGTGTGTCACGGACATTTGACCTCCTCGTTGCGACCGTAAAGGAGGATGAACCCTTCTGATTGCCTCCCTATCCAAGACGTTTTAATCAAACACATATATATACACAGACTTGCAAGGTGAAGGACGGACGGGCTGTAATGGAATGCCGACGCAGCCAGCTTTTTATCTGAAGTTAGGATAAACGCTCGTCTCGGGTCCGCCGCTCTGCGAAGCCCCTTCCGTAGACTCGGCATTGCGCCGCGCAGACCACCTTATCGTGGGGGGGGGGGGGGTACAAAGTAGCTTTTCCAGGAAATATGCCGAAATCAACAAAAACTGCGATCCGGCAAGCAAGACGCTCCGCTTCTGAAATGCTTCTGAAACGCGCCCGGTAGGGTATGACGCCAGAGGAGGCCGGACCAAAACCGCGGCGCAGCCGTGACGCTCCACAGACGGACCCGGTGGAATCTAGGGGTAATGATACACACTGCGGCCAGGCAGGATCTGACTTGTCAGTGACTTTAGACATCGTAAAACTATTTTAAACAAGATTTTATTGTAGAGGGACGTTTATTCACAAATAACCCTCTCTGGAAAATCCTAAATCGTGGAATAGTTTGGCCATTAAAATGCTTTTTGATTCGATTTCTTGCGAGAAGTGTATTGTACTCTTAGAATCCACGTCCAGTTGATGTGTAGGATCTATAGTTTGATAGATATTATGAAGATGATTTGAGGTCTCGCCAGGATAACGTGTATGCAGCTTCCATGTAATGTTAGCGTGGGTGAAAACAGTTCTTCCGGTCTCGAAGTTTTCATAATAAAACCGGATATATTCCCCTCACTGTCAAATGATTACACAGTGATATCTGCATTACTCATCCACTAAAAACATCAGTTACTTGTTAATTACACACTATTGATTGGTTTAAATTGTGTACAATGCTTTTGTGTTTTTAACCTTCGATTCAGAGAAACAAATAGTTGTTTCGGAGTTTAGACACTACAGTTTCCAAAGACACTACACTACCCAGAATCCCCAGCTATCGTTTGGGACTACAACATCCGCCTTGCTTTACAAACCCCGTGATTAGTCATCAAGCCCTGTGATTGGATGTTGGAGTGGCAGTGCGACAAGGTTACGCTGAGCGTCAAACAGCTCTATGAAATGGAATGGAACCATGTATGGAGTCAGATTTGGGTCAATATTCTAGCGCGCAAAACAAGCTACTCACGAGAGGAAAATGTGCTTTTACACGCACATAAAATGACCCTTCCGCGCAGATTAAACCCCCGTGAGCGGCTATGCGCTCGCTCGCGAGAGAGACAGCCCTCTTGCTCGCTCGCGGGAGGGTCAGCCTCACCTCCTTATTGCCTTGTGTCAAATGTCATAGATCGGAGAAAACGGTCGAAAGG